GAAACAGTGACTTTTGCTCAGGCTCTAAGCTAGCCTGTACTATTGAAAGTTCTCGTTTAAATAAACAAAAATGAATAGATGGGTCAGTTCAGGTAGCACAAACACAAGGAAATCACACAAAATAAAACAAAGGTCAAAGTTCGATTTGTTTCCTTTTCGTCTCGTCTCTCGGCTTCTTTGTTTTGAGAAACAAACAAAGTACAGGATAGGGTTACTGTACTTTTCACTCTCTCTCACTTCCAGAAGAACTTTTGTGATTCGTGTCTTGTGTTTGTGTTTTCGTAGGCGTTTACGCATGTTCTCAATCCCGAAAATGGACAAAGCAAGAAACGAGCATCTGCCTCTCTTTTTTCTGTATCTTGTTTGTTTCCTCACTTTTATGCGAACCATTGGGGGATTACTGTAGACGGGTGCGGTTTTTTTCATCCGTGAATTTTTCTCGCAACAAAGATGATGAAAAAGTGTTTGAGTGTGTGTTGCGTATAACACGTGTTTGTCTTGTTCTTACCCTCTTCTTCAAATTCTGCACAATAGGTCATTCTTGCAACTTTTTTTGGATTGAGTGTGAGAGAGAAGTTTGTTGCGGTTTCCCCCGATTTTTTTTGAGAGGAGTAGACACAAACAAGGAGAAAAGAACGGAGGGATTTAGAAGGGAGAAATAGGGAAGAAAGTTAGAAGACTACTATCTTGCAAAGAATTAGAAAATGCAGCGATAATACAAGGATAGCAGAAAGTCGTTTTTTTTAAATGTTGTTAGCATGAACCTGAAACAGTGAAAAAGTGGGAAATCTCACAGTTCAGTTTTGGAAACGTCGCTCCAAGGAAACTTTCTAATTTCAAAAATAAATATGTTTAGCTAACTATAAGAATTCAACCCTAAAAAGTGGAAAATAATTGATTTCGATAACCGGAAAAAATTCAGTTCAACTAAAAATTTTAGATTGTTTTTAATGAAATTGACAGTTTTCCAGCAAATTCTCATTCTGATATAATAACCAAACATGTACCGATAATGCCAAAGTTACTGGAAGGAGAGATGTGTCACTTTAAAACCGCGTATCTCACTTGCTTGGATTTGTACAAAAGAGTTGTCAATTACATACCGTAAAACCCGTAATAAATAGAAGGGTTCCACGCACAGTCAAGTTTGAGTTCATTTATCTCGGTTACTGCAAGAAATATCAAAAACATGTCGACTGATAAAATATTGCTGATATTATGATAAACATTTTATCAGTTGACCACTTTTTGATATCTCTTATAGGAACCCCTGTGCGGGGGGGGGGGGGGCCTTCTATTACAGGTTTTACGGTAAATAAAGCTCTAATTTTGTTTAGTAAACTCTGAAATTTTCAAACCTATCGAAAAATTCTGAAATACTTTTTTCAGTACCTCGAAGTGAAAAATGATATTTTCAAGTGTTGCTGAAGTTTTTAAAAACATATCGCCCAAAACTTTTACGGTTTCGATGTGCCCAAATCAACAAGAAATATGTTCATCCGGTACTCTATCTTCGACATTTATTCGAAATCACAACGCAGACTACAGAATACACATATGTTTCACTTTCTAAAATACAAACAAAAAATCGTAATCCAAGTTTGCATACAATCGAGAAGTTGAACCGATTGTGCTCTTGTTTTGTCGGGAATGCAAACGATTTGATCCACTCGAGAGACAAAACACAAAAGCACCAAGACACAAAAGTGAACATATGTTTCCCATCTAGGCTATTTCAATCAGGAATACAACCACGTGGGTGTCCCGCTTTAAGTGCAACATAATACAGAAAAAGAGAGAGAGAGAGAGAGTACGGTATCTACGGAAAGCAATAGATTTCCGGTTCCACTTGAAAAGGGAAATAAGAAAAAGGGAAACCGTTCAGATGAGAAATGGAATGTAAACGATTAATGAAAACGATTTTTGATCCATGAAATGAGATGGAATAAGGCGGGAAATTGAGAATGTGTAAAAAATTGGGGGGAGCAGAAATCTTAAAAAGTTCGAACTGCAAAAAAATGTTTACTGTTTCAAATGGTTTTCAAATAATCTGTGTACTACGTGTATGTAATGGGTAACGTAACAGGGAAGCCCTTTGCACAGCTAGATTCAAAAAAAACTCATTGAAACCGTGCCGGAAAACCTGTAATAGAAGCGCCCGCTAACTTTTAAATTTGAGCCAATTTCTCTAGTTTTCTGTCAATGATAGGAAAATGTTAACAATTAATAAATTGTTCATCATAACATCGAAAATGTTTTGTCAGTTGACAAATGTTCAATATCTTGCATAGCAGTTGAGAAAATTAAGCTCAACCTTGACAGTGTGGCGGCCCTTCTATTACAGGTTGTATGTTAGGTTTTCAATCCCATAAAAATGTTTATTTTCAATAATTTTAAGTAAAACAGTTTTTCTTGAAAAGTGTAATCGCTGCTTTGAAAGTTAGTCGTCAAGCAAGTCTTCACATTTTTATGATTTTTTTCTGCCAATCTTTTTAGAAGATATTTTCAATTTTGAAAGTTCTTTCAAGGTTTCGATATGATGTTTACAAAAAATATGTTTTTTTTCCAAAACTCTTGTGTATCTTCCATTCTTTGGCTCATACTCATCAACTAGTAAGTACCCAGAGATGATGCTTAAAAGTTCGGAATTATAACTGTTTCATGGATTTTAGATACTGTTATATTATTCAAAATCTTGGATGAATTATCTAAATCATGAAGCCTGTTGAAGTATTGTACCATTGAAGTCAAAGATTCCCAATACTTTGGGCTAAGCGAAAACACAATCTGTGCTCTTGAGCAAAACTTTCAAAACTGCTGTAAAACAAAACTAAGGCTTACATAAGTATTTTTCAAAAATGAGGACAATTTTCTGTTAACATTTTTTCTGTTTCCGCTATCTCATAAAACATATACGAAACCTTGGCATTTCAATACTCTGCCTCCTTTATTTTCTAGAAGCACAAACGATTTCCTCAGAACGATCAGCAACAAAATGAGGTGTCAACAAATCACAAAAAAAAAGACGGAAATTTCCAGAATGGAATTTCGGAGCAAATCCTAAGATCACTCTATGAAAAAAGTCCGAAAATAAAAACTACAAAAAATTGAACTCCTTTTCGCACCTTCTCAATTTCTCCCCCGTGTGAGAAATAAACAAAAAAGAGCAATGCACAAAACATACAGTAACCCCTCTATTTTTTTTCTTAAAGTGCGTTGTAAATAAACTAGTGACCTCATTGATATAAAGGAAACAAAATTTCTCGGTGCGTTTCAAAAATTGAACTTTTTACTCCTTGTTTGAAGAAGTTCAACGGAGAGGAAAAAAGAACAAAATGACAGAGAGAGTCAAGCACTTTTTTTGCAAGAAAACGAACAGAGTGAAAAGAGCAAGAGTTCGGGTGTGGCTCTGTAAAAAAGAAGAGGTAAAAAAATGAAACGGAGTTTTTCTGGGCTAGCACGTTTCGTGCATTTGACCGATGAGGGATATGAAGGAGCAAGGGCAAACAGGAACATAGCGTTTATGTCGGCGGAATCTTTAAAGGTGGGGGACAGGAGATTTTACGGGGGATTTTTGGGGCCAGAGTATACATTCTACCGTAACGGTGTACAACACTTAATGTCACTCTGCGTACAGCTGTCGTCCTCGCTTTTATGTATGCAATCGGGCGTGCGCTTTCTCTTTGCCCGCGTAGCTCAGTCGGTAGCTGCGCCGCACCTTCAATCATCGCCCTCGACAAGTTCAACTCCTCGAGGGGCATATTTAAACAGAATTTCGAGAACATTATTTTTTCATGTCCCCCCACCTTTAAAGAGCACAAGAAGGGGAACTGTTGGCATAATGATCGGGGAGGGGAAAAATGAAGTTGAGGAAAAATAAAAAGTTCAATAACATGAATTTTATCAAAAAGTTTTTTTTTTCAGTTTCTCGTTGTTCTGAAATTAAGTAAAATTAAAACCGTTTACTAAGCCTCGAATCAGAGCAAAAGTTATCACAAAGTTTAAAAAACCCATTTTTTGTCAATCACTCCATTATTTCAAGAAGTTTTTAGAGTAATAAAGTTTTTTTTGAAATTTTGATTTTTATGTCTTCTTATAAAATAATTTATTGTCAAAACTTCTATACCATAAAACCTGTAATATAAGGGCTTCCACGATGTCATATTTGAGCTCAAGTATCTCAATTCTTTACAAGGTACCGAAAATGTGTCAACTGACAAAATACTTCTGATATTATGAAAAACAGTTCATCTGTTGACAACTTTCTGATATCTTTGACAGGAACCGATATAAATTGGTTCAAAGTTAAATGGATCGGGGTCCTTCTATTTCAGGATTTACTCTCATAGTAAAGATAAATCCAAATTCTTGAACTGCTTTTTTCTTATTTTGTTAAATAGAGACACTATTAGCTTCAGAAAGACTACTTTTTATTATAGCAGAAGTGAAACAGAATTATATAAATTTTGCGCTAATAAATGAACAAACAGTGAAGTCTCATGAACAAGCTGAAAATAATTTTGAAAAATAGAATTTCTTGTAACGCTATCCTAAGAGTATTTATAGACATTTTTATAACATGATATTAGGTAGACTATTCTGGCTACACAGTTAATTATAACTGTAGCTCAGAAAGGTCATCAGGATAATAAATAAACCTTTCAACCCATCAGCGGTTTTAGGGAACCCAAGATCTATACGGAATGGGAAATTTTCGAGAAGTTAGAACTTCAGATTGAAACAGTGAATCAAAGCTCTCCACAAAAAAGTTTCACACAACAAATGACCATGCCAGCTGAAACGTCTAGTCTCTGGAAAGAATTGCTGGTTTGAAGATCAAGAAACCAATTCTATTATTGTTTGCAGACACTTTTTTGGAATAATTAATTAGGCTCTAAAAGTTGAATGAGACACGAACAGAGCACAAACTACACGAGTCTTTAAAGAAGACAAGAAAAAGAGTTCATCTTCCGAAAATTATGTTCTTGTGCATACAGACAATGAAGGGTATCGAAAAGAAGACGAGACGAATGAAAAGTGGGAAGAGTTTGCAAACGAAAGGCGAGGAGCAAATAGATGGAAGGAGCAAAGGGACAAGTGATGAAGCTGATCGGGTGCAAGGAACGATGGAACTCGCAGATTTGGAGTTGGATCAAGGAACTCATTTACTAACGCCAGTGTTAATAAATTCAAAATTAATATATTATGGTATGGCTGAAACAGTGTTCATTTTCAAACAAAATGAAAATTTTAAATTCGGTGTTTTTACAAGATATTTATGAAGTATGCAGTAGGTGCGCTCTATGGAGAAGTCCTGTAAAAAGCTTTCCGCTGGAGAAAGTGCCCAGTGACAGATGCTTGAATTCAAAAATCAAACAGTTTTGTAGAGAAGTCGATATTGATAATTTCGTAATGATGTTATTAAGATTACGGGAAAAAATATATCTTCGTTTTCGCCCATATTTGGGAACTTCTGGAAGGTTCTAGAATCTATTTATTTTTGAAATCCCACCAGAACTGAAAACTTTCCGTTTTAAATTGTTGGTACTTTGTTGGAGGTGACCTAGAATTTTCTATTTCAGCGGGAACTCGAAATGGAATACTTTCACCGTTTTCCACTTTTTGACGCAGTTTTTTCTTTTTCGTTATGTGATTCTACATATTTTTCTACATATTTTACTAAAATGAAAGTTTATGGTCGGAGTCTCCATTAAAAATGTTTTACAAAAAAAAAACACTCTGTCCGTATATTTGATCCCACTGATCATTCGGCAAATCGCACTCAATGGATCATCATTCGATCATATTTGTATTTACTTCTCGTTTTCTTCCGATAAATTTCTCACGTTGTGCTTTGCTCATTCCTCTTTTTTTGGCCGCTATGGTTGTAACTATTATTAAACATAAACCTCGAAGTAAGAGAAAAGCTCTCTCTGCCTTGAAAGATGAAAATGGCGGTAAGAAATCCAAATTGTCTAAATATTCCAGTAAGCAAGCTGTGGATGATATAATTGAATCTGTGGATGATATGTCTAACCCATTATATGAACTGCTGTCCAATGATTTCAAATCAAAGAAGAATTCACTGTGAATGATATTGCAATGATGTTTAAGTCGCTGGCTGAAAAGATTCTCAAGCTTCAATCCCAAAACACAATGTTGAAAAACCAAAACTGTATTCTAAATGCCAATTTGTCGAATCTTACGGAAAAAGTTGATGGCTTGGAGGAGAATCTCAAATTGTTATCATCTCAACCTAAAGAATCACCAAAACCTCCTACTACATTAATTAAAACTTTTGCTTCAGCTGTCGCCTCAACCATCTCTGCTCCAGAATCCCAAATCACTTTCATGCGAGCTGCCTCATTGGCTAACTCTGAAGATGCACGGAAATCGAATGTGATCATCAAAAATATCGACCTTTCGGAAGAAGCTATTGAGAAAGCTGAATTCGCCTCTAAAACTGCCAAGGACTGTGGTACTTCGACGCCATCGGTTTTTCGCATACCTCATCCGGCCAAAGGGCCGCCCATTGTGCGCCTGGCATTCAAGTCCAAGGAGCGAGTTTTCTAGGAAAATGAGCGTCTAAGACCGCAATTGTAGATTTCGATCTACAAGACGGTGTTGAGTGTTACAGATGGTTTTAAATATGTCCAACAAACTGCTCAGTGGCCCAGGACAACAAATTATGCATCAAAACTGTCATTCGGTAGACCTGCGAGCTGATTTTCACCAAAAACCAAAAAATTAGTATTGGTTGCCGTGATTCTATCCCAAACTTTGAAATTTTTACGGAAAGGCAATTTGAAGATAAAATACGTTCAGGAGATTCGTTGTCATCTTTTGGTAACAATTGTCCCTGATCCCGACGGTTCGGAAGAGTTTCATCAGGGAAACTCATTACGTCACCCTAGATCTCGTCTGACACCCGCCGAGGTGGAGGTGTGAAAATAGTTTTTTGCATTTTTCGCGTCTGCAGGCCCCGGATGTATAAGAAAGGAACAGTTTGCGGTAGATACGGTAACTGCAAGTGTTTAAATCCTATTTTCCGATTTTTTGAACCCTGGACCATGCAATACCAAGGCTTTTTTTTTGCTCAATTTGACGTTTGAGATCCCCCGAGTCTGGTGAATGTTCAAAGTTAATGGTGGTCTTAATTTTTGTTTTAGTAGGTTCCTCTGATCCTTTTGGATATTTTCAAAAACATTTCGAACACCTGATGAAGAAACTCCAAGTCTTCTAGCCACATCAACACGTGCACCCCATCTCGAGAAAAGTCGCGATCATGGGTTGGTGTGGAGAAGTCTTCATAATTCTGAACAAAAAACAAAATGATACCAAATGATATAAATCTTTCTATTAGTTTCGAAAGTTTTCAAAATTATTCTTTGGCGCCGGGCCAAGGAGCTCTCAAAAAAACGTCCTATCATTATCGGCCACCCTGTATATGGATCGCAAAGCAGAGATAAATACCAAGAATTTTCTTTATATAATCGTCTGGAAAAATAAAGAATTTTAATGATTCCTCGCTAGAAATCACAAGGATAATTTTCAATATGTTAATAATTGATAAAATAATATGATTATTGAGAAACAATCACCGAAAAGAAAAAAAGATAAATGAAAAAAATAGGCGGCATTTGAGTGACCTATTTTTCCCTCACATCTCCTGCCGACTTAAACTTAGATATATGTATATATGAAAAGTATCGAAATTCAATTCTGCACAAGCCTCCTAATCTGCTGAGTGTCAGACTTAGCAAATTTTCAGTGGGTAAAATATAATGATAAAACTTTTTGAAAATCCATAAATTTTTTCAGAAATAACAACTAAAGCCAACTTCCCGATCGAAAAATCGACTTGGACACGGACAAGGATAAAGTGTAGATGGCAATTACATCAAGCCGGGAGGCGAAAACTTTTTCTTTTTTAAGTTTCTTTTTTTTGTATGTACATTTTTTTCATCATTTTTTGTATTAGTTTTCATAATTGTTTGAATAAATAAAATTTTCTCATTAAACTAGTCTTCCAAAAAAAAACAAATTTTAGGCGAACCCAAGGCAAAGGTGGAAGGTTTTAGGCGAAAGCTGGGCGAAGTTTTGCCAGCTTTTGAGCGACGTTTGGGCACCTTCTGGGAAAATCCTAAGCGTAATCTGGCCAAACAGCGCCCAAAAGACGACAGCCACAGCCGACTAGAATAAGTAAACGTTTTCCGTCATAATCAGTGAGATACAACAAGACTATTTTGAAGAAATATTTATCACAGATGACATTTGACTACATGGAGGATGTGTACTTTTCAAAAAAAAAAAATATTCTTGAAATAAATATTCAACAATTCAAAACAAAACAATACATTATAACTAATTTTTAAAATGTTCGCGAAACGAAAAATATATAATCTTCCTTATATATAAAACACTACACGCGTCTGTCTGTCCCGGTGCCAGGCTGTCTACTATTGAAAAGTTTGAAAAATAAATATAGATTTACGTGACCCTTCAAGAAAAAATGAGCGACGAACCAGTATAAGACTAGATCATATGCGCACCAGCTTTCTGGTTAACATAATTAATTTATTAAAAATTCTTGAAACGAAACTTTTTTCAATTCAAATCCTTTGAAAGTTGTGTGCATAGTGGCCTTATATTTTCAGTCCGTTCTCTGATAATCTCAAAATTAGTACTTAGTTCAGGTTCTGAAAAAGAAAAGTCTTTGAAAACGCTAGAGTTAAATCGTTTTATTAGAGTTTTTCAATATTAGTTCTACTGAATATCTTGAGCAGTCGTGTTGGTGTTCACATAAAAGTAGTCGGCAGACATTCCCGAAAGACGAGCATCTGAAAATTCATAAAAATACATTTTTCCAACTTTTTCGAAGACTGCATACCATCTTTGATGGCTTCCAACGCAATATCAAGCTGAGCGGCACAAACTGTCGATTTTCTCATCTCCAAAAATGTAGCACTCTCATTTATACAGTTCACAAGTTGATCTCTACAATCCGTGTATTCTTGATTGTATCGTTCTTGAGGTAACATCTCCAAAGTACACACCATATGGTTATAGGCGCAACTGGTGATAGGTTCTGAAAATATAATTTTGCAGCTTTGCCTATTTTTTGACCTACTTCTGAACCCAGCACATTCTTTGTACAGTTTGTTGTATTCTTGAATAACAGTCTGATTGAGTGCTGGATGAAAACCAATTGGGTCTTGTTTTGGTTTTTGGCTCTTTTGAGAGCTGTCTCCGAACCATTGAACTAGATGACAAGCGGCATGGGTTGGAATTTTAGTGCATGTTGATGGAAGTCTAGGAGTTCTTGTCATGGCGCGCTGAAATTTTCAATTGCTCATCTTAAATATTTCGAAAGTCTACTAACTTCAAGGCAATTACAGAACTCCCAGTCGCAATGTTTTTGGAATCCATAGTAGTTATCGTAGCAGGAATCGTGAACAGCACAACAGTGGTTTATTTCAGCTGAAATTTCAGATACACGTTTATAGGTAAATTTTGAACCTACGCATTTTCTCATTACAACTAGTTGCAATTACTCCATGCGAAGCGGCCATCTGGAGATCGGTGGATCCGCAAAACCATGAGTCTCGATTCACTACCGTTTTACTTGCGTAAAGACTAAAAAGTTGGTTTTGTTGCGTTTTCAGAAAAATAGATGCATAGCTTACAGTATTTCAATCGGAGTCCAGACATCTCTTGTGGGGCGGTCCAGAAGTGGAACAGCAGAAGAAATGGTGATAAGTAGGAAAATCGAGAAAATTATTTTCATTTTTCAAGCAATTTGCTTTCAAGATTTTCTAAAGCGAAAATAAACTACAGATTGGAACGAGAAGCATACAAAGATCACGTTTATGAAAATCCTGCTTTCAAAATCAGAGACTGTCGGAAAAACTTCAAAAGAATTCTTTATAGGTTAACTGGAACTGACATTTTTTAATTTTGGTCAATCACTTTTTTCATAAAGTGATTTGTGTCTTCAAACTTTCAGAACAGTTTCGAAACATAGGTTTCGAGAAACAAGAGACATAAATTTTCAAAAACTCAAACTTTACAAATATCCCTGTTTCACTAATACCACTTTAACAATAGTTCCACCACAAAGCCAATTTGTGATATGGTGCATTATCATGATACGACTGATTTCGCAGTTAAGACGCGTTCTCTGTAGAACTCAACTTCAGGCCTATTATCCACTGTACAGAAAAATTCAAACTTGTTTTTTTCTGGCTGATTTTTCATATATTGCATGTTTATGGACTTTTAAGGTATATGAAATATAGTTTGTCCCACCTGCAAAAATATGGTCGTGGGGTGTCTAAAAACATTTTTTTTTCAAAAGTGAAATAACGATTAGGTCTTACTGTATAACGTTTTTAGGCACTATTTTGAACATTTATTGTATTGGCACTATTTTTATATTCTTCCATCTTCCCTGGAAAAATTTTAATTTTTAGCAAAAAAGCTATTTTTGGACCAAAAAATGAAAAAAAAATACGAGCTCCAGAAATACACGAAGCCGATGAGCACGGACGAAACTTTGCCAAAATACTACCCATCTAGAATACTATAAGGTTGAGCGAAAAATCTTTGTAATTTTTTTGGACCGTCATATCTCAGCTTTGATTTAACTTTTTATCATTCTGTTTTTTCTATATTATAGTACCAGTTGTGCATGCTTAAAGGTGGGGGGACATGAAAAAAATAATGTTCTCGAAATTCCGTTCAAAGATGCCCCTCGAGGAGTTGAACTTGTGAAGGCGATGATTGAGGGTGCGGCGCCGCTACCGACTGAGCCACGCGGGCAAAGAGAAAGCGCACGCCCGATTGCATACATAAAGGCGAGGACGACAGATGTACGCAGAGTGACATTAAGCGTTGTACACCGTGACGGTAGAATGCATACTCTAGATACAAAAAAACTACGAAAAATCTCCTGTCCCCCCACCTTTAAAAGATTTGTTAAAGTTACCGATGGCGTTCATAAAGACCGAGAATTCGCCCAGAGACCAAAATGCTCTCAGGGGTGCTTTTATGTTCGGGTTTCTCCAACGTCACAAATGCTGCGTAGCTTATCGTAAATTGTGCACAGTGTTAGGCCAGAACTATATGTCCTACCCTACAATAAAGTTTTGGTTCAAAAGATTCTCCGAAGAGAACTACGATCTCGAAGGTCTGGCCTACCACGTGTTGATCTGAACGAGGATACCTCTAGGGCGCTAGAAGAAGAACCAATAGCAACGTCACGCGAGCTTGCAGCAAGTCTCAACCATCCTCGCAGAACCATAATTGGTCATCTTCACGAGGCTGGAAGGGTACCAAAGTTTGGCCAACTCCCCCCTCCCCTTGTGACTGATTCACTAAAACCATTGCGTTGCGACTTGGCACATTCTCGGCTTACTATCAAACGTAGCATCAATTGGGTTGAGAATATTATCACTGGGGACGAGTAGAAAAGACAAAGGGTCCCGGCCAAGGAAACCGCAAAAACGGGCATCAAAGGAGAACTTCACGAGAAAAAAGTTATATTTTCCATTTGGTGGGACAGTGAAGGCGTTATCTTCGGAAGACTTCTTCTAGACGGCATCACTATCAATGAGGACCTCAACAGCACTCTAATGGAAATAGCAGTCCAGGCTTATCGATTAAATTGCCCGAAAAATTCCAGCTTGTTGATTATTCATGACAACGCAAGAACACCCACTACTTTGAAGACCTGCCAAAAGCTCCAGATGCTCGGTGTCAAGATCTTTTGTCATTCACGTATTCACCAGACCTGGCCCTAACTGAATAGCAAATAATCCGTTCCTTGAAAAATCTCCTTGTTAGGCAAAAGTTCCATGATAGAAAGGATGTAAAAAGGTGGTTGGATGATGTTTTCGCTTCCCAGTCTACCGAGCTCTACGCTAATGGAACCGCTCCACTTCCATCGCGTTGGCAAGAAGTTATGTACACTATTGGTGAATATATCACACATTGAATTCCGTGTTCTTTAAATAAATTTTGTTCCGAAAAAAATTCAAAAAATTACAAAGACTTTTCGCTCAACCTAATACATCTAGTAAATTTGAAGAAAATCGGTGAGGGTCGCTTTTGGTCGAATTTTTGTTGCCATGTATTCCCCCACATGGTGAAACCTCATTTTTTCGCCCATTTTGGACGCATAGGGGGCTCAGGTTTATATTTTATCCCAAAACAGTTTCTAGTGTATTTTTAACAAAGAATCTAAATTTGATGTTTAATTTTATAAAATAATGGAAATTTTTTTCAAGACGTACAAAAAATACCTTTTTTGCAAAAAATTAAACTTTTTCCAAGGAAGATGTAAGAATATAAATATAGTGCCAATACAAAAAGTGTTCAAAATAGTGCTTTAAAAAGTTATACAGTAAGACCTAATCATTATTTCACTTTTGAAAAAAAAAATTTTTAGCCACCCTGCGACCATATTTTTGTATGATGAAAAATCCCGTTCTCTTCCTGTCCTTTTTTCTCCGTTTCAAGTTTTTCTTAAATATAATCGATCCGAAAATTCGATCCAAAAATTCAATAAGGAATTTGAAGGTGGTGTGCGGTGAAAATTTTTATTGCTTCATTTTGTGCAGAAATCCATGTAGAGAAAAAATTTAAAAAAATACCTTCATTGAGAAAAACGGCATCGAAAAGTCAAAGTTGTATCTGGTGGATTAGCGGCCAGGTGAGCGTTTTCTAGGCCAACTGCCGGTAAAAGCGCACGAAATTCGATTTTTTATTGATTTTCAGTGTTTTCTCTGGCGTTTTTAAAGGTTTCAAAGTTTTATTGTTAATTTCCTCCCAGGTGTGTTGTGTGTGTGCTTTCATGCGCGCTCTGTTGCAGGCAGCGTTCCAATTTGGGACAGTTCGACTCCTTACCAGTTCGAACTTGTAACAGTTCGATTCTGTCCGCGTTCTGTTCTGGTACGTGTGCGAAAAAAGGACTGTTCTGAATTGAATCAGTTCGATTTTAGGTCTGTTCGAATTTGAAAACGTTCGAATTCGTCGTACCCCCGGAAAAACCTGACAAAAATCAGAGAAAACACTGAAAATCAATAAAAATTCGAACTTCGCGTGCTTTTACCGGCAGTTGGCCTAGAAAACTCTCACCTTGCCGCTAGGCCACCAGATAAAACTTTGACTTTTCGATGCCGTTTTTCTCAAGGAAGGAATTTTTTTATCTCTTTCTTTATTTTTATGGGAATCTACATGGATTTCTGCACAAAATGAAGCAATAAAATTTTTCACCGCACACCACCTTTAAACGAATATTTCTTGGTTCCTGTATTCAACTGGCAAAATATTTTAAGTATTACGATGAACATTTTTTGATATACAGTACCAGTCAAACCAGTCAGTACCAGTCAGTCAGAAAAATGAACTTTTCAGTTAATTTTCGGTATTTTAAAGAGTCTGAATCTCTGTTGTCAAGTTTCCGATCACTTTGAAAGCTTTGGAGGATGTTCTGTGAATGCAAAATTTTCAATTTAGGTCTGTTTTATATTTTCCAAAATTTTTAAGTGTTCGGAATCTTGACAGCTGAGCTCCAGACTCTTGAAAACGCGCCGAAAGTCGACTGAAAAATACCTGTTTGTACCTTATTAACCGGTACTGTAGCTCACTGCTTGAGGGTAGTTCTGAACATCTCAACCAACATCGTTACTTGCTTTTCGTTTGAATTTACATATATTTTGTTAAAATATTCTGAAAATCAAAAATTTTTCAGTACAACATCAATTGGACAAAACTGTTCCAAGAGTGTTCCGAGCCAACCTACACCATCTTTGAGTCTAAGACAAATGCTGTGGTTTTGGAAAGCTCCTATGAACTACAACTCAAAAAACAAGTTCTTTATTTTTTTTTTATGTTCTCTGTCCTTTAAAAGTGGGGAAAAGGGGACAAAAAAGTAATTTCTTAAAAGTTCTCCTTCTTTAAGAAACGAATATCATTAGGCTGAAATTCCAGTTTTTGAAAATATCCCTGTTTCACTAATACTACATTAAAACAGTGTCACCACGAATCCAATGTGAGCTTAAGATCTTTATCATACTCAACTTTTGATCAGAAGTCACAAGAGAGCTTCTCATTATTCCCACCTTTCAAACTTGACACGAAAAAGTTCATCGAATTCATAAAAACGGAAACTTCGTGTAGTTGCTGTTTCAAAAATTTGTTAAAGGTGGGGGACATGAAAAAAATAATGTTCTCGAAGTTCCGTTCAAAAATGCCCCTCGAGGTGTTGAACTTGTGGGGCGATGATTGAGGGTGCGGCGCCGCTACCGACTGAGCCACGCGGGCAAAGAGAAAGCGCACGCCCGATTGCATACATAAAGGCGAGGACGACAGATGTACGCAGAGTGACATTAAGCGTTGTACACCGTGACGGTAGAATGCATACTCTAGCTACAAAAAAACTACGAAAAATCTCCTGTCCCCCCACCTTTAAAAGATTTGTTAAAGTTACCGATGGCGTTCATAAAGACCGAGAATTCGCCCAGAGACCAAAATGCTCTCAGGGGTGCTTTTATGTTCGGGTTTCTCCAACGTCACAAATGCTGCGTAGCTTATCGTAAATTGTGCACAGTGTTAGGCCAGAACTATATGTCCTACCCTACAAAGAGAAAGCGCACGCCCGATTGCATACATAAAGGCGAGGACGACAGATGTACGCAGAGTGACATTAAGCGTTGTACACCGTGACGGTAGAATGCATACTCTAGCTACAAAAAAACTACGGAAAATCTCCTGTCCCCCCACCTTTAATGTGATGCAGACTGATCTCTTCCTGGTTCTTTGAATTTATGTTTATTCACTGTTACCGGATATTTTCGTATCATCAAAAAACGAGACAAAGAGATAATGGGGCGGGGAAGAGAAAAAGTAAAGCAAAAGCCAGGGAGAGAGTTGATAAATTACATTTCTTTGCATAGAAAATGATTTAATAGCGACGAGATGAAGAGGATCCCAACGAGAATTCATTGATACGGACTTTTTGTTCGATACCGTAACGGAAGATGCATTGACCACGTGTCTCGTAAACTGCCGCCTGAAAAGAAGACTAATTGAAAAGGAACACTATTTATGCGATCATTATTGAACAAATTGTGGACAAAGTTTTGAAAGTTTTGTGAAACTGTAATTTTCGAAAACAATTTTGTAGTTGAAAACGATTCCAACAGGCTCTGCCGGGCCCTCAGCAGCTAAAAGCGTCGGCCACTGCTCGTTTTTAAGTATATTTCTTATAGCGATTAGTCAATTCTCGGGATTGGTTCTAAAGTTATTTTTCCAATCTATAGCTTACCGGTCCATCAAATCGGAATCCTTTCGCAGTGTAATCTGGCATTCCACGGATGATATCGCAGATATTTCCCTCGAGAATCGTCACCAAACTGTTGTTCTCTTTCAAGTTGGTTACTGAAAAAATCGGCTATTTGGAACTAAATAAAATCTTCGTGTTTGTTTCCTTCATACCGGGATCTCGAGGCAAAAAATTTTAGAGTCATTTTTTGAGAGAAAATCGGATTTTTGGAAACGTTTTATCAAAATTGTGTTGTTTTCAGCTTTAAGAAGGGTCCTGGGTTGAATTTCGTACTTTAAAATGATCATTTTGACAAAAATGTTTCAAAAACCAACAGAAAATTTTTGAATTTTTCGGAACCCGGGCCGACGGGACGGGCCGGGCCGGGATTTAGCAAGTATGGTTTCCTTCATTTCATCCATTATAGTTTATGAAATTACTTATTTTTGGCCACAAGAATTGCTTAGCAACGTCACCCTATGCTTCTGTTACTTTTGAATGTTTTGAAACAGAAACTTTTTAAAATCCACCTAATTCTCACTTCCCCTTCTTTCTCCACACATTCAATCGTTTATTAGTGGTGTTGGTGTACTTCAGAATTGTTGAAAAGAGACAGTCAAGGACTCTTGACAATTCATTTCACATTCAAATCGAACGGAGAAACTTGTTGAATGGGACAGAAATTTGCATAAAAAAGGAAAAAGGACTCACTTGTCACCAAAATTTTGCCGCTTAGTCGATTCTCGATGCGGAAATCACGGGTTACCTGTAAATGGGTTGATTTATTGGGAGAATTTAGAGAGAAAGGTCTTGGATTCGCTACACAGATTTCAAGAGGACTATCAGAAGGAACAATTCATTAAATGTTTTAAGGAAAGCTTGAAACCGGAAATGTTTGAAGCAAATTCACATAAACTTTAATAGATAAATCGAAAAATCTGAGCAAATCCTAGTTGTCCACCGGCCTTGCAACTATGGGATAAATCGTTTTTTTGGAAACTTCAAGAGATTTCTCCAGGTTTTTATAATTTTTTTTAAATATAGAATTTACGAAATATTTTTCACTAAAAATGTACAAATATTTAAATTTCGAACAACACAATGCCGAATCATAAAAATTGTCTAACATAAAATTTTTTTACTGTTTCTCATATAAGAGGGATCAAATTTCAAAATTTTCACGTTTGAGAGAAAATATTTTTAAAAAAAGAGAAATATTATGAGAATTTACACATTAAAAACAACGATTACATAAAAGTTATTTTTAAATGGGAATTCTCGAGAAAAATATGACGCAAAAATCAAATCACTGAGTTGTTCTGCAGAACGATTCTGTGAAGAACACAGTTTTGAATAGAAAAAAGAATTTCAATTTTTTTTGCGTGAGCACAGTATTTTTCAAAAAATTCGTTTCGAAACTCCAAACGTGAAAATTTTGAAATTTGATCCCTCTTATATTGTATTCAAATGTTTCGCTTTATACTGACACCTTTGAATCAAGAATACTTACAATGTCTTCAATAATAACCAACTCGGCAACAGTCTCAGCCCCAGGTGGAACCTTAACACAACTATCCACTCCCCATGTCAATTCTTCTTCAGAAGTATTCTCTCCGATATGATTCAACATCACTTCTGTTGTGAATCCAGCATTTGCTTCCACCACTTCACACGGAGTTTTCAACTTCAATGAAACTTCGGCTCCACGACAGACTCCTTTCTCAATTATCACGGTAGATGAACTACGGGTGGCTCGTTCAGTCTTGAACGAGTATTCCTGTTCTCTTTGGGTTGTGTTGGTGAATGTAGTCTTGAAGATGACCTTCTCATCTTGTTTCTGAAAATTTATTTTGTTAGAGTGTGTTCAGTAGAGTAAAGAAGCTTACCGAGTCGACAACATTTGTCTTAGCTCCAAGGATGGTGTACGTTGGTTCCGAGCATTCTTGGAACAGTTTTGTCCAGTTGATGTTGTACTGAAATTTGTGAATTTATTTTTAGAAACGCGACATTCGATCAATACATAGTCTTGCGGTTTGAATGTTTTATAACTATCATGAAACAGTGACCTAGTGTTACGTTTAGTTTAATCAGTATCCCTGACTTGCATTGTTCCGTGGGAATTGTACCTCGCCACTTCAGGTGTAACTCGTAAATCAAGAAGGCACTGATGGGGAGACCTCCCAATGTTGCTCTACACACCCCCAACACTTGTCTCTTTACCTTTGACACCTTCGTGCCGACATCATTCACATTTACACTTTGGGATAGAAGAGAGGTAAAAGGTGAACACTATGTTAATGAGTAGCTGGGCAGGAGTAAAGTATTAGGTGTGCTTTAGGGTTCTTAAATTTGTATAGTTACCAGCCTGTTTCCCGCGACTCTGGTGCTTCAAACAACTAGCTGGTGCGCCTTCGGCGCGGTTCAAACTTTTTCTTTTACTCGTTCATCGTTTTTCATTTATTTATCATAAGAATGATCATAGTGGGTCACTATTAGTGGCTAATTTACCGTTTTTTTCTCTAATTGAAAGCTTTCTATTTCTCAACCTTTCTTCCAGAATTGGACCAAAAATGGAAATTACCAGTAGTAAAAAAATAACATCTCAACAATAACCGAGTAGAAAAACTGCGCGAAATGCTATTAGAGATTGGGCTTCTATTTTTTAAGCACTTTGGAAAGTGGACTTCTATTAGAGGTAGGCTTTTCTATGTTACGAAAAAAGTTCTGCAGAGAATAGCACATTTTTGTAAATTCAGGTTATTGCTAAATTTCTAGAGAATTCTACTTGATTTAAAAAATTTGGATCCCAAAATTTTCCTTCCCAACAACCGAAATCCTAACAAAATCTTAACCCAAAAACTCTGCTTTTGTTCCATCTCATCAATTTATTCAGTCTTTCTCGATTCTTCAAAAGCGGGACCTCATTGTATTCGAATAAATGAAACCATATGGCGGCTCCCCTGGGTGATTTTTGTCATTTCCTCTCTCTCTCTCCGCATGAGCATATTCTCTTCTCCCCTCTCTGCTTCTACTATTCAATTCATTACTCTTTAGACAATCTCGTTGGATTAAACACACACATGGGACACCCCATTCTCTTTCTTTTGGACTAACTATGGCTGTTCCGTTTAAACCTATCAATTTTCATGTTCAATTTCCGAGGGAAGGTGCCAATTTCCCGCCATTTCCGTAATTGGATCGACGATAAAAGCAACGGAAGAAGGGGGGAAATTGAGCAGAACGGCGTTACTAATTTAATAGTTTCTCTAGAGAATACTCACCGATAGATACTTCTTCTTAATTTTTCCCTCTGCTTTTGATTTTGTCACATCGAACATTGTCTTTGCCCAGTTGTTCACCACCTCTTCCAGATCGATTAGGTCGGATTTTTTGGCGTCCTGAAAAAAATGAAAAATTATTTTGAAGATATTGGAGTCAACAAAAAATTGTGGAGAAATTTCTGTTTCAACAGTGTGATATTTGGAATCTTATTCTGATGTTTCCTGATTTACTGTGAAAAAATAACAGAGGGTGTGGTACTTCGAGCAATTTTAGGGCAATGTGTTTCTCTATTAAATATACTAAAGTTCCTCAGATCGCATGTCAGATCTGTAATAGTTCGCCACCATGTATTTTGAGCTCAATTATCTCAACTTCTGTAAGAAATAACAAAAATCAGTCAACTGATAAATTGTTTGACATAATATCAACAATATTTCTAAAGCTTGCAGATTTTTGATATCTCTTATAGAAATAGGATTTTTGAGCTCAAAGAGAAAGTACAGGGAGATAATCTATAGCTCCATTAAAGGCATGAAGAATCCTCTAGAGCTGAAGCCACTGACTCCTTTCTAAAATGTCAAATTTCTGAAAAAAATTCGTGTTTCATGGCATTGTTATTTAAATGAATTGGTTAGAATTCTATTGACTAAATCTTTTTGCGAGCGAACACCAAAATATTAAAGCAATAGAAAGATGCTTATCATTCAGTCCACAATTTTTCGATCCTTGTAACTTTTTAAAACTGTGGATGTTTTTATGATTTCAATGATAGAATAGAGCGCTAAGCTAGCTCAAACTTCCCGGCAATTAAACTTTTCAGAAAATCTGTTATGAGTTTCCAGACCAAAATTTCAAAGTTCTGATAAGTGTCTTGTATAAAAAAAATATTTTGAAAGGTCTTGATTTTTGAATCTAATCAATTTAATCTAACCCCAAAGTTTGGAGGATTTGTTCATAAAAATAATTTCACAGTTTTTCAAGACTTTTTTTTAAAGATTCACTACAGGTTTCCGGTCTTCAATAGTTAAACTACGGAGTGTGCTAAAAACTAATAAAACAGAATATTTGATTCTCAATATAATTTTTAATATGAAAAAACGACTCACATTTCCTTTAACGAAGCTCTGTGGCTCATTTGCTCTGTTCGATTTCAGCATCTTTTCTTGTTCCGGACTGAACGCTGGTGCTTTTTGTGGAGAACAGCAGCCTGTAAAAATCATTGATAATCTTTGACCACTGATGACCAATGACTCATGATGACATGGATTTCAAAATATTCACAAATGAAAAGTGTCTCTCCCCTTTTTTCTCTCTAAAATCAATATTCCTCTCTGCGTCTCCCTTCTCCCTACACTATTTTCAGAGCAGATGAAAGTGGCGTTGTCGCTCTCTTTCCTTTATCTCTCATGGCTCCCCTCAACTACCGTAACCCTCTTCTCTGTTTCTCTAGCTACCTCTTAACCGGCATACACTCTCGTACTAGGATTGCTAACAAAATACGTGGCTAAATATGAATGTATGTAGGAACCGTGGGAAAATCGACGGAAATGAAACATTCGGGGTGTTTGTATACAACAGCTATGGAAGCCCCGAAATGGAGGAGAATTCAGAATAATTAGACGGAAAAGGGACGAGGAATGGAGAAAAGGTGAAGGCTACAATTAGGCAGCCAAAGTAAGAAGAAGAAGAAGAAGGAAAATTGGGAGAAGGTAGTGAAAGTTTAGACCTCAAAAATACCGGAAAATTTTTATTCTAGTGGCATTGAGAAATCGAAGAAATTCTGGAGAAATTGGGAAATAATTTTGGAAATATTCTAAATACTCACTTTCAACACTCATAATTTTTTAGAACTTCGAGAAAATTTTCAAAAAAAAATTTGGCTGAAAATGAGCTATTCAACAATTCAAGGCTGTCTTTATACCGATGAAAATTTTTAATATTGCTAATCAAAACAAAATTAATCAGTTGAGGAATTGAGCAGAAAGTTTCGAAATTTATAAAAACTAAGGAATATTGAGCATGATTTCGAAACCTTCCGTTTTTACATGTTTCAAAACCTAGTTTGAAATGACTCAAATTTTAAAAACTCAATTCTTTGAAACATTTCCACTTGAGTCAAGTTTTGGGATGGAAAAGTTCAAAATCAACTCGAAAACCCATTCGTTGTGTATTGTTTATAAATGAGATTACTGTACTCTGAAGTGAGATGAGAGAGTGTGGAATTAGTAGAAGACGCAGAATCAGAGGATTTGGCACGGTACAGTTGCAACACGCAGCACCAAACAATCAAATTTGTAAGCTGAATGAAAAAAGTTTAGAGAGTATGGGGAGAGCAGGAGACGCAGAGATTTTTTTGTAATATTTTTTATGCAGGAATTTTGTTTTTGCTTCGTTTTGCAAACCGGAGGATGATTCATAAGCTAGAAATTTTTCTCCAATTTTTTGTAAAACTTTCAACATCTATTCTTTCTATTTAAATTTCATCAGTATACCAACAAATATTTTTTTTTATAATTAAGAAGATACTGTATTTTTTATAACATACCAAACATTTTGATTCAGGGAAAGAAAAAGTCGATGAGTGTGGCTGTTGACAAACAGGAGGAGTCTCTGAATCCAAACCGCCGTTTCTCTCTTTCAGACTCCGCCCACTTTGTATCGCTGCCACCCAATCGTTGATGCCCACGAGACGTCGCCTCTTCTCGCTCCCCACTTTTATTTTTCATTCTTCGAGAGCTCCAGGGATGTGACTATATATTTTAAGCTTGGTGTTTGTGTTAGGCTATAGGAAATTAGGAAAATTATTACGATTTGGAGTTTTGTGTTTTTCGAAAATAGGTTATATGTATGAATTTTCTGATTAAATTTTTGTCAAATAGTTTTTTTATTTTATTCAAATATAAAGTTTTTCCTTTTTTCATCAGTTAACCTAACGCAGTTTTCCGTAAATATCAAAGTTTTGAATGTTTTTTTTTTTTTAGTCAATAGTCAATGGGAATAGATTCTATTTTTTGCTCGCCAAGCTGGACCAGATTTTCAGGGCCCAGGATTTTTCCCAAATTTTTTATGACAGTCCTTTCTTAGAGAGTTTTTTCATTTGGCAGAAAACTCATTTCTTTTTGTTGACCACAAAAATTATCTCTAGACCCTTCTTGTTGCAGAATTCAACTTCCCAATTTTTTTTATTCCAAAGAAACACAGTTTCAAAAACATTTTATCAGATAGTGCTTTAATTTTTACTGTTCCTCTACACTTTTACTATTCCTTTACTATTCCTCTGTCTCACAGTTGGATCACTTCGATGAAATCTGCTCATAACAACATCTGTTTTCATACTTTCTCAAAAGTTCCTGAGCTAACTTTTTTTGTACAAAATGTGCAGATTTCATGCTTGGACTCTTTTTAAATCATTCTCTCAAGTCTTCGATTTTTTGGTGCGATTATAACTAATCAAACTCTAACAGGTTTACTTGTTTTTTCAGGAGATATTCTCAGAATTAGTCACGTAGTATAGGTTTCGGATGGCACCGATTTTTTCTGTCGTCCTCCACCCCAGGAATTGCGTAAAGTTTATGAGTCAGAACGGCACGGGAAATGGAATGGAACAGAAGAAGAAAAGGAGACACAATGAGTCGGAACGGCTGTTCTCCGGAAAAGAAAAAATAAGGGAATAAAGTTGTTAGGAATCATAATACGCTTCAACTTTTGAGTTTCCAGCAATTTTTTTAAACTCCCTAAAGAATTACTTTCGTTAATTAATAGTAACAGCTACAGTATAAGATAGAAGTTTATTAATTTTACTTATCTTCAGATGAAAATAAGTAATTTTGTATGCTTACAAAATATTTTACCAGGGTTTGATATTTATTGATCAGAAGAAAATATGGCACAAAAGTTATAACGGGAGTTCTAGATAAAATCCCTAACGAGATGAACCTAGAGAATGGGGAAGAAAATGGTATACATGTAAGGCAGGCAAGATATTTTTAAAAAAAGGGGAAAAGGTAAGCTAAAACCGGGGGATGGAAGATTGGATTAAGGTAGAAAATTGACCGGGAGTTAAAAATTGGGGAGTATTCCTTACAATTGCATTCCAAATAGGGGCGGTGGTGAAGAAGAAGTCATCGGTACATTTATCTGAGAGAATAAGGGTCATAGGTCTCCTAGTACAGTCGGAAATTCTTAAGAAAGAGGATAATTCTGGCATATAAGAGGCGTCACTAATCATTTTGTAAAGCAGCATAAGTTTAGATTTAAGTCTACGATGTCTGATAGAGAAGAGGTCAAGTTGGGAAAGACGATCTTGATAAGAAGAGTATGAGATATTGCATTTCTGGAAGACTTTACGGGTGAAGAAACGGAGTGGTGATTCGAGTTTTTGAGAGAGTTTGGAATTGGGGGGAGGAGAATAAATTAGGGGGGAGGAGAATAAATTAATATAGTAGACGTTAATAAAAGCAATTAAAGTTTGTAATTAAAATTTGGCATATTGAACAAAAATAGAGCTTAGATTTTGTAGTTGACAACTTTTCCGTACAGATTAACCCAACTGAGATATAGAGCTTGGAAGTGTCAGGACTCTGAATTCTGTGTGATTTCCTGGAAGTTAGTTAGTTTCAAGCGATATATCTCTCTTGGATGAAATTGTGCAAAAAAGTTGACATCTACGATATTGAAGCTCTATTTTTATTCAGTTGATTTGAAAACTCAGTGTCATCCAACAAAACCTACTATGTTTTGTAGAAATTCGAAGTCGGCCATTTTCAACTTAAGATGAGTGAAACTTTGGTTTGTTCAAATTTTTGCAGCTGGTGAAAAAAATCTAATTTTAGTAACAAGCAGATCTTTGTTTTCAACCCCCCCTCTCACAACCTTGCTTCCAAAAAAGTTAAATTGTAATCTTCCTAATGCGATACTCACTAACGCTTCCTCCACCTCACCAGATGGCACACCTGAATATCCAAAATTATTACAATCAACAATAATTGAGCAAAGCAAACATGGACAATTCACCAGACACACATGCAAAACGTCGGCTTCCTCTATTGAATACGCAACCAAATACGGCCATATGTGTCGGTGTGAAATACTACATTCTCTTTTCTTTTTTCCTCAATTCCCTCCCGTTACCCCCTTTTCCGTGTCCTTTTTAGCTTTCAACCTGTCAACCGATCGGGGTGGAAAAGGTTTATTTGTGTTGGCTCACTCATAAATCTATCTCTCCCTAGCCTAGAAAATAGAAATTGAGCCAATTATAACATTTATGCTCAAAAGGAAATGCTCTAGGGAAAAGGTGAGCCAGAGTGATCAACAAATTAGAAGAAAATTTAAAAAGAATTTGAGGGAAGAGAAGGAGGGATACGTCAATTAGCGGATTATGAGGAAGGGAAGGCGCATCAAAAGGAGAAGGGGAAGAGATTTGGATGGATTTTGTGAAATATAGTGGGGAGATTTTGGAATAATGATGAATAGTTTTAGGGGAAGAAGGTTCAAGGTTTGAATTTGAATGGGACAGGTATTGATGATCGGGGTGGTTTGGAAATGGAACAGAGAGGGAGCTTTTGGATTTGAAGATGTCGGCAAAAATCATCGATAGAAAAATCAGTTAGCGATTTCAAAAAAATTTTCATAACTTCACAATCTTAGAGTTTCAAAATCTCAGAATTTCAGAATCTCAGAACCTCACAATCTTGAAATTGTATTTTTCCTGAATATGAAGTTCTCAGAACCTCAGAATTTCGAGATTAATCTTGGAACTTCAAATTTTTAGAATCTCATAGTTTCCAGAATCTGAGACTTTCGGAACCTCAGAAATTCAGAAATTCAGAAGTTCATGATATCAGAACTTTGGAATCTCTAAATCTTAGAATTTCAGAATTTCAGAAGCTCACAATCTCTAAAATTTCCGAAGATCAGAATTTCAGATTCTCAGAATCTCAGAATTTTAGGATCTCTAAATCTCAGAATTCGAAAACCTCAAAAGTTTCAGAGTCTCAGAATCTCACTTCCTCAGAGCTTATTAAAATCTTGAAATTTCGAAATATCTTTTTCTTCCATCGTATCGGCAGTCTGAGATTCTCGAAATTTTGGAATTAGACATTATCCTGAAACCGAAAAGTTTCAAAGTTCAAAAGCATCAAAGCCTTTTTCAGAATACTAGATTCTAAGTTTTTCAAAACTTCTATCACAAAATCTCAGGATTTCTGAATATTAAATTACCAGAACTGCAGAATATTTTATTCACCAATCTCCAAACTTTCAAATTTTAATTTACAGGAAAAACATCAGAAGCTTAAAATTTCAGAAAATCGGAATCTGAAACCTTCATAACATCAAAATTCCAGAAACGCAGAATTTCGAAACCTCCATATCGCAAAACTTAATTCAAGGATCCTCGACATTTGTTTTCAAACCCTTTTTATCTACAGGACTGTTTGGTGATAACAAGATCTTGGAGCTTACTATTAATCAAAACTACTTTCACCAAATGAATTTTCCTACCATCCACCAATTTTTCTTATTCATGTTTAAAAAAAATGCGCGAATCCATCGAACATGTGTTGCCATTCTCCTTGCTGTCACCAATCCTTCCCGCACGTGTTCCCAGTCGGCACCTCGTCAATCAGATGTCTTTCTTCTCTCCTTCTTTTCTCTTCTAACCTGATACCCAAAATCTCATTATTCATAGTCTGTTTCCCATCGAATGACGGACAACTTGTGTCCATTCATCCATTCAATATTAAACTGCCTCTTCTTCTTCGTTAGTGTTCATAGGGAAAATGTGCTTCTGGTTGCTCATCATTTTGATTCGATTCACTTATTCTCCACTCATTGACACGCAATCGTCTCTGTCTTTTGCAGAAAGGGACTTTTTGAAATCAAATGGAGGGATTTGCATATTTAAGAGTCGGGATTTGAGGAGAAAGAATTATAGCGCGGTGCCAGATGGCAGAATTTTAAACCACACGACCCTCTGTGGCAATGGTTTATACAGATTCTATACAGAAAAATAGGAAAAACGGGATGGGAAAAGGAATATGAATTATGCGTTTTTTCGGGACCAGTATTTGTTTAAAAAAAAGATAAAAAGAAAATATACATTATTTCCTTCAATAGAAGCCCTACCAAACCATTCACTTTTAGCTCAATTATGTCAATTCGTGTGAAAAATATAAAAAATTAGTAAACCGATAATATTTTATCATAATATTACCAAAATGATATTAGTTGACAAATTTTTCATATTTTTCACAGCAATCGAGATAATTGATCTCAAATTTGTCCGTTTGGTTCCATTAGAGGAAAATATGACAGTTTTATGAAATGTTGATCATGATTTAATTCAAATTGTACCGAAGATGAAATGTGTTTTACATTTGCAGATAACAACAGTAACGAAATTCTTGATTACAAATTCTGATGACGCTTCCAAAAAACGATTCTTCAATAAACAACGACAATCAAAAAAGTCCCCATCTGGAACAACTGAAAATCTTTGGTTTAGAAAAGAACAACACAATCGTATTTCAATATGACATATTATTTCGCAACTTTGGCCAAATATATCTCGGTTCCTATGGAAGATAAAATTTGAAAGCGAGAGAGAAATTTTGAAAGCGAACATATTTGTCCTGATATCAGAAACATTTCATCAGTTAACAATGTTGTAATATCGCAAACAGGAAACAAGATAACCAGGTTCAAAGGAACGATCTTTTTAAGGAGTTTCAAAAAGTAAAAATTCAAGTTTATTTGATGAAAAAAGAATTAAAATAGAAACACCGTGGCAAAAAATCCTTCGAAAGAAATTTTTAAAAAACGACTACGTGAATTGGTTTAGAAACCATTGACCTCTGGGAGAGCAATATAAAAAAGGGGAAAATGAAAGGAATAATCAGTTCTCACCTTCTCTGGGTTCCAGAGAAGGTGACCCGGGGATCCTGGGTCTTAGGTGGATCCGGGTGACCTGGGTCCGGGTGACTTGGGTCCGTGTGACCTCGGTCCGGGTGACCTGAATCCCGCTGACCCTGACCGGGTGACCTGGATCCGGGTGACCTGGATCCGGGTGACCTGGATCCGGGTGACCTGGATCCCGCTGACCCTGACAGGGTGACCTGGATCCTGGTGACCTGGATCCGGGGGACCTTGATCCGGGTGACCTGGGTCCGGGTGACCTGAATCCCGCTGACCCTGACCGGGTGACCTGAATCCGGGTGACCTGGATCCGGGGGGACCTGGATCCCGCTGACCCTGACCGGGTGACCTGGATCCGGGTGACCTGGATCCGGGGGACCTTGATCCGGGTCACCTAGATCCGGTGACCTGGGTCCGGGTGACCATGACCGGATGACCATGACCGGGTGACCTGGATTCGGGTGACCTGGATCCGAGGAACCTAGATCCGGGTGACCTGGATCCGGGTGACCTGGATCCAGGTGACCTGGATCCGGGTGACCTGGATCCCGCTGACCCTGACAGGGTGACTGGATCCGGGTGACCTTGAAAAATGAGCGAACGAATCTAACTGGAACCAAAAAACTCTAAAAAAGACTCAGTGTCATACATGGCTAAACTGAGCTATCATTGAAGCAGTTATAACGACAAGGGTTCATAAAAATTTTATACTTAACAGAAAAAAGAGCAAGATGAAAAGAGAGAAGAATATAATTAGATAATTATCAACGAATGGTATGTGGGAACCGTGTGCAAAAAAAAGATTGGGGGTGGAATGTATGAATTATGTTTGGGGAATGGGAGGGAGGAATTTATGAACCGATAAGTACCCGTGGTACACGAAAATTAGAGAAAAATAAAAAGAGATGTGTGGGGGAGGGACAATGGGAAGCAAATATCCGCTTCGATATCCGACTGTTCATCTTCTGAATCAGACGGATCAAAGTCCGAAGAATCTGTGAGTTGCACTGAGTCCGTGGCGGAAGAATCACTCATCGATCGAGTATCTTCACAACCATCAGATGACATCGTCACACCCTCGAAGAACGACAATTACATCTTGGAAATCTGGAATTTAGCACTGGCATCTCAGTGTCGACTTCATGATCATCTTCATTCTTCACGACATCATCTGTGATTCCAGCCTTTTCGAACAACTCCAGAAGAACGGGAAACATTTCGACAAACTCGTGCATGCCGTTGTCCTGAGTGGAATCACTCTGAAAATGTAGATGATGTCCTATTTTTCGTTTTAAGAATGCTCACTGTGACATCTGTTTCATCGTTTTCCACATCACAATCCACGAGGGTTTCCCCAGTCAGCGCGTTCACATGATACGACAGCTGCAATGGAACTTCTTCCTCCTCAACGAGAGACGATTCGTCATGATTGTAGTGACTGGAGGTGGCTGACGTGGTGCCGGTGGTTCCGTATTCAATCATAGCTTATGAAACGCACTGTAGCAGCCATCGAAGAGAAACGACGACATCTTTCAATGCTCAGCAGAGTGTCACGGGAGCAATCCTCACTTGTTCGAATCATATACTTGAAGAGAGCTTCGAAATTGTCAACGGACCACCCATTCGTCAAGTAGTACATGTTCGGAGGACGTGTGTCCACTTTCTTCATGCATTGTTTCAAGAACAACATTTGCTGGTCTGAAAACGTTCATTTGTGAATTAAAAACCAATAATTATCGACTCACCAATAGGATGGTCGGGTCCCGGCTTGAAACAAGCACGATCGTTCCCGTTCTCATGATCCGGTTCGCCAGTGATCTCGTTTCCGTCGTAGATGACGTTCTGAAACTTTCGAGACGTTGGAAATGAAGCGCAGCAACAAAAAAAAACATCTACCTTCAGATCAAAGTCGATTTCCTCTGTTATCCTTCGAATAACGTTCAAGCCGCCAGAAAAAACCTTCTGAAGACGAGTGAGACTCGAATTGTGTCGTTGATTTTTAAAGGCGCATGGGTGTACGGTAAGGCGTGTGTCTCACCACGATCCAATTTTTGAGACGCGGCCGCTTTGGATTTCTTCCTATTTTCTTTTTTAAATCCATGTCAGTAGTATAGTAATGGAGGATTATAGTACCGTTTCCGTTTTTCACCATTTTTTGAAATCTCCATTTTCACCCATATTTCCACACTTTCTCTTCTGTTTCCTTAAATTAACAAGACAATTAGCTGAAAAACACCCATTTTAGGCGAGCACGAAAATCGTACTCCGAGTACGAAAATAATACCACTTTTTTCAACCTCTCAAAACAGTCAATTTTCACCCCAACTGATAACAAATTCTTTACACTTAAACACTTTTTCAACTCTCTTATCAAATTTGGTCTGATATCAGAATGGTAGAGTGACTGTCTGATAATCACAACGCCCGAGTTCAACCCCCACACGATATCTGCATTCACGATATCTGCGATTCACGATATCTGCGATTATCCAGTTAATGAAGGCGAAAATATGCAAATGAAGGTGAAATATGCAAGAAAAAGTCGACCGTCGGAGCGAAAAAATTTCCTCATTAAAAATATGCAAAAAAATCGGTCGTCGGAGTGAAAAAAAAAATCACCATGAAATAATGACAAAAAATCAAGCGAGCGAGAGAGTGTTTTCTTATCAATTCTTTACCATTATTTCGGTTTATTAAATGTTGTGCGAAGATTTGAAGCCACTAACAAATATAGATTTATTGAAATTGGCACAAGATTTACAAATTAAAAACTTTAGAGGAGTGTTTATGAGAGACACTCTTCCAGAGAAACCACAAAAGATAGAAGTGGGCATCATAAACCTGGACAGCTCAAACAATAAAGGTACTCATTGGGTCTGTTATAAAGTAAATAAAAGTGAATATTATTATTTTGACTCTTTTGGTTTGGACCCACCCGAGGAAATAATAAAATATCTTAAACGTAATACTTCAAGCGAAATCACGACTTCAACATTTCAAATACAAAAATTTGATACTCATCATTGTGGTTACTACTGCTTACTTATATTAAAATTATTAGAAAAACATGATTATAAAAATTCTATACTTACTCTATTTACTCAAATATAATAGGTCTAATGTGAATACCATCATCCATCACAACTCCTTTTCCATATACAGGGGATAATCCTATCTTTTTCTGTCATAAGTTTTCATTTCTTGATTCTGATATCTAAATCCTTTATTCAATCCATCTATTGTTTGTTTATTTACAAGACACTCTAAATATTTTTCTTTAGTTAGAATAGAATTATTTCTTTTTTGCTGAACACCTTTAGAAGAAACTTTACATTTATCGTCATTTGTCCAAATACAATAAGTTTTACTACATAATGCTATCATACCGTCACCCTCTTTTTCTACTTTAAATAGTCCTGGAGTTCTTTTATCTATTCGACGATGCTCCTCTGTATCGGTCCGAGGAAACCAATTACATTTATCTCTCTCAAATTCCTCCTTCATCTCAGGTTTAATCAAATCCTCTAAAGTATTGTCAGTAATAGCCATATAAGCTGAATCAGTGTCTATTTCAATGTACTGGAAGTCAGACCTATCGACATACTTATCTATACAGTCGTAGTAGAATTTTAACATTCTTAGCTTTGAATCATCATAAACACTACAGGCAATTTGCAGAGGCATATTCTGTTTAACCTTTCTTGTTCTTTTTGTTACTTCGTAAACTCCTTATATTCCTCTGCATCATAATAAAAGCAATCGTTTTTAGCTCTATTAAATTGAACTTCATTACAGAAACTTACTTTTTTATGTTTGTTCTTATCCATTCCTGTTCTACCAAATGCTGAATTTCCCACAAGTTTGGCACCTTCCGAGATGATTGCATACTTTGAGTCAACATCTCCTTTTCGCCTTTCATCTGAGACCCAATCCATAAAGCCCTTGAAAATTCTTCTCCGTTTAGCTTCAATATATCCATATAGTTTTGTAACTACACAACCATGTTCTAACATCCATCTAAGTCTTGTAGATTTGATTAATATTTGTTTTGCTTTCAATGTTACAACTAGCTTCCTACTTTTTGTTGGTTTTCTTTCCAAGGATTTTAAAAGGTTTAAAGTATAATCTCCGCAGAGAGTTTCATCATATTCCTTGTTCACAAAGATTGGACACATCTCACTAAAATAGTTCCATTTATCTTTAGGGACTTCAATATCAACTTCTAAAAATCCGAAGAGCGAATTGTCTAAAACTTGTTTCTCTATTTTGCTCCAATCATCATTTTCTTTAAAGTATAGTTTTCCACAAGCCATCTCCTCTCCCAAGGAATGAAGATATAAAGCGTTTGCATCGAACCCTACTATTTTCTTAACAGCTTTACCTTTTTCTGGATACGCCCATTCGGTATCGTCATAATGAGTTCGTGTAATTTCTGTTTTATTTGCTTCATGATATCTATGAAACACAATAGACGCACCTCCAGTTATATTCTTTTTGAACTTATAGAATGCATCTTTATTTTCTTCTCCAAACAGCCAGATCATTGGATGATCTTTCTCGAATCTCAACATTGCTTTGTGTCTGTAAAACTCTTTGAACATCTTATCTGACCTAGCTTTGTTACATTTGATACAGGAAACTACACAATTGGATTTGGTATGAGGTAGAGCATTATCAATTCTATCAAGAGACCATGTATAACTACATAACTTTAACCAACAGTATATACACCTATGGTTCCCATTTTCTAGTATTTCTCTAACACAATCGACAGTCAAATCACAAGGTGGTCTTTTTGCTTTTTCATCTTGTTGACGATAACCATCTATTCTCTTATTTATTTGTATCTCTTCTATAGGTGTATAATACCCAATCTTCTTCGGTTTTTCTTTTAAATATTCTTCGAAACCACTAATTTGAAACTGATACAAAATATTTTCACTAAGACCTGGTAGCGAACAAGCATCTTTATACATGTCTAGCTTGAATGTGTAAAAGAATTCTTTTTGTTTCAAACAAGCTTCTAACATTGGTCTTACATCTAAGATATTATACCATTCTAATAAATCTCTAACTGTCACTAAATTTTTATCAACACAAATCTTCATCAAGTCATCAAAGTTTTCTTGAGGCATAGAACCATTCAATGAAGAATTAAAATCTTCTATTGTCAAATTGTGTGTTAGATAATTCAGCTTATCATAGGAGTCAAACCATTCATAAGGAAACCATCCTTTTTGAACATTAACATATGCTTTGATGAAACTTTCTAATTTAGTGCCAGCAGCAACATAACTCATTTGATCTAGAAATTGAAACTGTCCTGTTTTTATAGTCTTGTATCTGTTGCCTTCTTTAATTACCATTGGGTTAACACCATCATATTCTCTTCTCTTCATAATTTCTTGAATGAAAGGTCTAGATATTAAGTTTATGTCATAGAAACTACTATTAAATCCAAGAATAGGAATCACTTCACAATATCGTTGCACCTTAGTTTCCAACCATTCATTAGATTCTAATCGACATAATAGTGGTTCCATTTTCTCTAACATCAGTTGACTTGCTTTCGAAGCCACATCATCAATATATTGAAACATCTCTTTTACTAGTTGCTCAGGATCTTCATTTAATATAAACTTATCATCTTCAAATCCAGGTACATTAGTAGCAATCGCCACAGACGTCGGAATGTGTTTCATAGTGTAGGTTAATTTATCACTAACCTTATCATTCAGTTTTTGCATTCTAGACTCCATATCAAAAGTTATCATGTAATCATATTTGAAATCAACATCTACATCATGGATATCAGCTAATTCTACAATCAAGTTCCGATCTTTCTTCCAAAGTGTTGGATGTTTACAAAATACGTCTTCTTGGGTTAAGGTGCAAGTCTCATAATGTCTAACTAAATGCGCATTATCCCCAAATTTTTTTCCACATCTTTGACACATGAAGATAGAAGATAGTTTACTCAAATCAGTTATGTAAGAAAAGTGATCAAAATACAAGTTTAGGTAGATGGGTTTTCTTGAAGCGTTGTAAGATGATTTCCTAACGTATGAAATTGTTTTATCTTCATAGTAGCTTACAATATTTATTGCATATCCCCTATTGATATTTTCATATCTATCAAGTTCGTTAACATAATCAAATCCAACATAATTCGTAACACGTTTCTCAGCTCCATAGAAGTTTGCAAATAATTCTTTAGCTTTTCTGCTAGCTCTATCTTCTCTACACCCTTCAGCAACAGCAACACAATACCAGAAACACATATTGTTATCAACATTCTGTAGACTTTTGATTGTCTTGGAGTCCAAGATGTATTGAGGTAAATTAATCGGTGCTCCAATAGGAAAATCTAATCGTGTAATTTTTGCTGCCATAGCATAGACACCAACTAAACGTGTTGATGAATCAGGAAATCTGTTAGTTAGCTTGTGTGTAATAGTTTCAACAGTTATTTCTTTTTTCAAATTAGAGATGTCTTCAGCGTTGTTTATTTGTTTCACTGTATCGAAGAAATAGTTGCGTCCAGGTTTGAATAGTTTCAAATCATTATTTTTCACGGTTACATAACCGAAACTTAAATTGATTTTAATAGCCTTATTCTCTTCTTTATATATTTCATCTAAACACTTATGAATTTGTGACTCAGAATCTATCTGATTGAACATAGTCATTTTAAGATACTTACTGTTTTTGGTTTCTGGGAACTTCTTTCGTTCCTCTATTACCAACTTTTCAGCATCTTGCTCAAATTCTGTTTCGTTTACTTTAAAATATTTCCCATTAGCTTGACATGTTTTCTCCACAACATTAGGAGTTGTCGAAGCTTGGAGAAAGTTGATGAGATCTTGTTTTGTCATTTTTATCAATTGATCATTAGTCAGTTTGAGCTTTTTATCTTTATTTATCTTTCTCACGTGAGTAAGAAGGTCTTTTTTGTTCCATTCCTCATAATTAATTTTAGGGTCCATTTATAGAGTAAGAAAAGTATCAATTATAACCTATAATAAAATTTCACAAATATTGAACAATTCAACCTAAAACCAATAATATTTCATACAATAAATGCACTCTGTAGTTGAAATTTACGACCCAAAACGGCGAAATGATATAGTCCAGAACTTTCTAAAAAACCGAAAAGAACACAAAATCAGAACTTACAGGAGCGAACTGACTTAGAACATGTAGAAGATTATAGAATGGATGTATTCAAACCAATCTTAGAATCCAACAAGAAACTACAGGAAGAAATAATTGACGAGAAGAATAAAATAGTAGAAACTCTAAACAACTTTAAATCTCCTTCTCAACTTTCTATAATACCTGCATCCACTTCAACACCAAAGACAAATCGTAAAAGTCTCATTAAGCAGCCCTCAGTAGTCTTACCAAAAGAAACTCAAGCTCTACCTAGTTCTTCTCAAAATTTAGTTGTAAGTAATCTGATTGTAAGTTATCTTCAGGACGGATCTGATAGAAGCAATGCTGGCTATTCAATCAAGTTCAACAAAGAAGAAAAGAAGTATACTATTGGTAACAAAGACATTACATTTGATCAGAATATTATCAAAGTTAATAATGAAGAATATACAGCAACTGAGGGGCTGATGGAGTTGTTAACTAAAAAGTCACCAGACTTGAAAAAGATTTTAAATGAAGACAAACAAAACTATCAAACTATCTTACTATGTTCTAATGCATTGTTTCAAGGTTTTTACAAAGATAGTAAAAGGTATAATGCTGATGCAAGCGAAAAATGGAAATTCATAAAGGCTAATTATTTTGTTGCTAAGGCTTCTACTTCAAACACCTCTACTACTGGAAGTTCTATTTCTTTCATCCCTTCAAACACTGACTCTCTAATTGACTCATTACGACTATCTATTGGTTCATTTCAAGCTGGGAACAAAAATGAGTATAATAAAATTCATGCCATGTTAGATGAACTAGTCAAACAGAAAGTAATCAAGAAGAAAGACTTAGGGGTTATTTATTTGAATATTGGTATGTAGTAATTATACTATTCTTATACATTCCTATACACCAATATACATTCTTATACATTCGTATACACTCGGATACATGTTCTAAAAATTTATTCTAGTTAAATGTCACAAAAATTAGTGTTAGCCAGAATGTACATTAGCGAACAAGATAAAACTCCTCTGAGAATCAACAAAAGAAAGTGGGTTAAACAGCATAACTTTACAACACAAACTCTATACGACGGCTTATGGGCATTAGCAAAAGAAATGGATGTCAGTAGATATATTGATAGAAAGCCTCGGAATGCCGCCGTGGATAATGTACACTCGGGAAGTAGCCAAGAGCTAAAGTTGTGTGAAATGAGCGATAGTGGTTCTACAAGTGGTGTCATGAGTGACATGAGTGAATCAGTAAAAACTTTTGAAAGAGTGGAACAAGAGAATTGCATTAAAGTTAATCTTCTGAAACCTACTACCATAGGTATGCACCATTCTTTAAAAAATCAAAAATGAGTAAAATTATCAATTTTATCTTCTATATAAATGACGAACATTCACACTCTTAATGATTTGAAAAAAGGCAGTGGCGCGAGCAAAACTGGTGTAGGTCGTAAAATAGCTAATAGTGGGAATGGTACTGAAACACTAACTATAACTCACGAAGACTTGAAAAATGCTGGTCTACGTCAATGTATCGAGATTCTCGGTGGTATGGATGAAATTGTAGCAGTTATGCAGGCTATCACAGAATATGTAAGGTTTCCAGATGGAATTGATAGCACAATCTCCCTAGAAATACTACAAGAAATGATAGATGTGTATAACCGTGCATCTTCTATGCAAAAGGGAGCCGCGAAGTCCAAAGAATTAATAAAGCTAATCAATTTGTACAAAGAATTTTTGAAGGAATCCAGAGCAGATTATCGAAATCATAATTGGGTGATAAACAGTCAATTGACAATATGCAAAAAAGAAAATGAAACAGTGAAGAACGAAAATGACAAATTGAAGAAAAAGTTGAGAGAAGCTGGAAAACCAGTAGATGTAGATAAGAATAATGAAGTGTTAAAGCTTGCTTTAGATCAAGCCAATAAAGAAACTGCAGAGCTTGCATTGCAATACAAGAAGAGAAAAGTCAGAACCACAGCAAAAGATTTATTTCGTTAGGGGCCATCGTCCAACAGAGGGGCAGATGGCAAAAATGTTAAGCTGTGAAAGATTTAATGAAGATATAATACAGAAACTGTATGATAACATAAAAAATAATATACTGGATAAACAAATTGTCATTAAAAATCCAACAAAAGTTGAGACAAAAGGCATGAATCATTCAAAAAAGATTGATGGGCGGAAAACAACTATGTTAGATGCTGCAGAATGTATTAGTGAGTATAAAGAAAATCTTAGAAATATGGGGTTGTCACAGCCTAAAATTAATAATTATCTCAATAATCTAAATTCCTCCTAATAGTCTCTTCATCCAATGTATCTCCCGGTTTGAACAAAGCTAGATGCTTACCATCCTTTTTGTCTAGAGCCCCATCTCGTCGAACAACATTTTCTTTTTTTCTACGTTTATCCGATTTATTTGCAGAGTGAAATACGGTGGGTTTTTGAGTGGGAGGTGAAATAGTTTTCTTAAAAGGTGAAATAGTTTTCTTAGAATGCGTAACAGTTTTCTTCGTTAACCTTGTAATATTTTTTTGAAATTCTATGTCAATGAGATTCTGTGGATATAATTGTATAAAAGGTTTATCATTCGAGTATATAAATATTGGTTCCCCTCTTAAACAAGAAAACTTTGTTTTATGATTTTTATCGATATCGCTCAGTAACTTTTTATTCATGGTATTGAACATTCCTTTTTCTATTTGATTCATAGGTATGAACTCATCTGTTAGGGCTTTATCAGACGATATGAAGTAATATACCCTATCAGATTCTTTATAAAACTTTTTACCTAATTTATTATAAGACTCTGTATGACGTTCAAAACAAGTGTTGCTGCAAGTGTGCTTATGGATGTACATGTGTAACCTATGTGGAACATACTTCTTTGCGACCGCTGTCATTTATTGTGGTTGTCTTTTTTTTCGACACTCTTTTTTCAAATTTTTCCGTTTTACTTAGTATTACGGAAAAACGGAAAAACGGAAAAATTCCGTAATACTAAGTAAAACGGAAAAACGGAAAAACGGAAAAACGGAAAAACGGAAAAACGGAAAAACGGAAAAATTCCGTAATACTAAGTAAAACGGAAAATTTTGAAAAAAGAGAGGCATGGAAAACCAATGGGTGGGGAGGAGGCAGCGGTCAATTAGGTGCAAAACGGAAAAACGGAAAATTGTACAATAATTTGAATCTTAAAAAAAGAGGAAAAAACATGAGAGTAGGACGCTGAGAGTAGGACAGGTATTGTGTCGCGAATGATGCCAATGGGACAGCCTGAGTCAATTTGTGAATGCTGGGGATCAATGAAAAATATAAAAGTATTTCAGCATCTTCCGAAACTTTCCACTATCGACATCACTTGTTTTATCTATAGTCAGAAAACAATAATTTTCTTTCCAAACAGCTGAAGTCAATTCTAGAAACGTTTTCTTGTCAATTTCACTACAATGGTCTCGGTAAATGTAGTCTAGATTCAATTTGTCTTGAGCGAAGATTATAAAAAAATTAGCATTCTCTCTGATAGTATTCTTAGGAAGTTTAATATAGCTTTGAGAAATGTAAAAACAATCAATGTTATTATGTCTACCTCTAGTATAGTACTGTTCTATTTTATTTTGTTTCTCCAACATCAAGTCATCAAATATTATTAAAGTCTTTTTATTAGGATCAATAGAACTTGGATCAGGAATGTCAACTAAACTGTCTGAAGTGTGAATGGTTATTTCTTGTTTATCTTTTTTCTCAACCATAAAATTCTGATTTTTAAAACATTCTCTAATATCCTTTTTACTCAACCCATTTTCAAAACCGTTTATAAGAGCTTGATAACAGGGCTGAAACAACGTAGTAGAAAATATATACAAATTGTCATAGTCTAAATAATCATCTCCTTCAAATTTATCCAGAAGTAAATTCATTAACAAGTTAGTTTTACCACATCCTGATTTTCCTATGATACAAGCTCTTATTGAAGAAGGAAGTAATGGATTATTTTTTCGAATGGAGTAATAATTTTTAATAGAATAATCGGCAAAGTCAGATGACATAATTTAATGTGTAATAAATGGTTTATTTATTTCTTAATCTTAGATCTAATGAGAAGTCATTTCAGTTTGATTTTCCTCAAGACTTCAAACCCAAATCTATAGCCGTTGTAAAAGTCGATGGAACTTTGGAGAGTGATAACAACAATTTTATATATCTATCTTGTAGTCTTATTTGTGATTCTTTTATGAAAGAAAAACAGAGTAATATAATTTGTAAGTTTTTGAAAAAGAGTAAAACCATAAAATATGAACCCGTAAATTTGATCTATCATAAAACTGCTAACACTTGTAACACACTAACTTTAAAACTTGTGGATGATCAGAATAAACTTATTGAATATAATGATTGTGATGTTCATATAGAGCTACACATTATCTAAATTCTTTTAAAACCAGAACCACTTTTAAGAATCTTCAAGAAGTCTTTATTAGTTTTAGATAGCTTTGTCTTTTTATGTGAAGTCTGTTTAGATTGTTTTGGAATTTCTTTAGGAATATTTTCTACAAGTTCTACTTTAGGTTTTTCCTCTGAACCCATAATTGAATAACTAGAAGCATTTCCAGCATTGAAGAATCTCATTTATTTAGTTAAAAATTAATCAACTGTTAGAGATTGTATAGACGGTCGATGCACCATTTCTCTTAACTCAACAGCCTCATACTCTCTCCTTCTTTTTCTATTTTTTCTATCAATGAAAGTTTTTGGGGAAAGTATCATCCAAAATGATCTAGCTATAAATAGGTATACGAACATTGCTGGCAAAGTAACACCAACTCTCCAAATTCTAAGCCACCATTTTCCAAAGAATCCTTCTACATCGTCTAATATTTCATGAGGTAAAGTAGAATCTTGATTACTAGCATGAGCTTCAATTGAAACATCAGACTTTTCTCTCATTTCCTCAATGAGTTCTTCTTCAATATTTGTCTTCAAATCTAATAGAATATGCTCATGGAATACTACTTTGTCATCTAAGAATTTTAAATCAAACTCTTTGAAACTTTTCATGTTAGTGATGTTACTTCTATAATCAATCATAGGATGAAGCTGTGGTTTGCTTGATATGACTCCTCCTGAATGATCATTTTTGTAATACCAAATTTTATCTCCAAGACTTTTTATCTTGATTGGTATTTGTCCTAGTGTAAGTGCAATGCTTAGCTTACGTCCATCAAAATGAGTAACGTCTATAAAGTCAATCTCTTCTTCATCAATTTCTTTACAGAATGTAACTTGTACAATTTCTGCAACATCGATAAATCTGACTTTGACGGCTGTATGATTCAATTGTTTTTGGATGTATCTTCTTGGATTTCTTGTAATAAGACTTTCAAGAACTTCATTTTGCTCGTTGAAAATATCACACAGTACTTGTGTAGTATGTCTCAGTAGATTGTTTGATTGGTTCTCTAGATATTGGAATTCTCCTNCTGCTTGAAAATCTGAGTATAGCTCTCTTTTCCTTCTTTGCTTTCCTGTTTGAAACAGTTCATAATTTGCTATCCTCTTTATAAATTCTGTGTAACTTGGGAATGCATCACACGCTTCTCTAATTGTTTTATATTCATCGTGACTTGGTAGAATAGCACAATCTTCTTTAATACTCAAATATTCTTCATATCCCGGGAATGGAAGAGGTTGCCATGTTTCTTCTGCTGATAAATTTAAGTGTTGTTCTTTTTCATAGTTTGCAATGTTGTTTATAAAATCTGTATAAGTTGTTAGCGAATCACATCCTTCTCTGCTATTCTTGAATGCTTCATAACTAGGTAAGTTATCACAGTCTTGTTTGATCTTCAAATATTCATCATAATTTGGTAATGGGAGTGGTTGAAAGATTTCTCTTTTGGTTCTGTTGGATTTTTTGTCTACACCTTTCGATTTCTCATCATGAACTGTCCAGTCTTCATCTTTCCGTTGTTTCCTCAATGCTTCGATTTCTTTTCTTTCAGCCTCTTCCTGAGCTTTCTTAGTTTTCTCCTGTTTCTTTTTCTCAAATTCTTCTTCCTTCTTTAGCTTTCCTTGTTTCTTTTTTTCAAAATCTTTCAGATCTGCTTCATACTGTTTTTGCCTTTCTTGTTCTCGCTTTCTCAATTCATCTTGTTCACGTTTTCTGAGTTCTTCTTGTTCACGTCTTTTGTTTTCATCTTGTTCACGTTTTCTGAGTTCTTCTTGTTCACGTTTTCTTCTGTCGTCCTCCTGTTGTTGTCTTTGACGTTGAATATCTTGTTGAGAATATGATGGGATTGGAATAGGAATGTGTCTTGGAGAATATTGAGATCTTTCAATTCTTTTTACAGCAAAGCCTTCATCACTGATCATTAGATTTGAGTTGCAATCTTGTACTGTTTTATTGGATTGGAAATTGAGTGCGATTTGGTTCTTATTGTTAACCCAAAGTTTGTTATTGTACATCCCATCAAGTATTCCAATAGAGATAAATTGACATTTCTGATCTCTGTTAACATCCCATGTTATAATTTCATTTTTCTTGATCTCACAGAAACCGTCTTGATACTTGCAATTATTCATATCTGCCAGAATATTGGTTGGCTTAGATTGATTGAAATGTGAATAAACTTTCGTCTCAATAACTATACAATTTTCTTTGTAGAATCTTTTGGGAGAGAAGAAGCTTGTGAATCTATTTGGGTAATCAACTTCAATTTTATTGTTTGTACTCCAAACGTTAGAACTACCTTTTGATAAAGTTCCGTATCCACATTTCTTACTATTAATCATTTCTCTACATTCAGCTAGGGTGATGGGATAGTTGTTCAATTCTTTTTCTACTGTATGTTCATATCCAGAAAAGTCTGTGTACATTGAAACCTCACTGACTAATTTTTTACAAAGTTTAGCATCTGAAATGTATTCAATAATGTTTGGCTTGAAAACTTCATATTGAACTGGTTCTGATTTTGAGTTAAGGATTCTATGATAATTACATTTGTGTAGTTTTGGGATTCTAAAATATTGAACTGGTGAGTTCTCAGTACAAATGATGGGCTTACCTAATGTACTTTGATATAAAGTTAAAAAGAAAATCACCGCAGATCCTATTCTCACTTATTACTTTCGAAAATTAGTAAATGAAATTTCCCTAA